GCGCAATCCATCCCTTGATGAGGACCCTATCGAGCCCCTGTTCGCTTCGCAAACACCAGATAGGGGCGAGCGTCCTTGGCGATCTCAGTGCGGTCGGTTACAAACATCCGCAACCGGCTGCTGTTTATCACCTCCAACTGATTTTCCCCAAATGACCACGTTTTTCCATTGGCAACATGGGTTTTCTTGACACGACAAAATAAGAAACGCCCATCGGATTTGCAATGCCAATCTCTGCAGCCGGCCGATAGTACCCGGCTATCCGCCCACAGATTGTCGATCCTCTAGCGGAAGCTTCTGTTTCCAACCCTACGCATAGAGCCCTTGACCGACCGACAGGGACCGGAGAACACTTCCCTTTCGACCCCCTATTTTTTTTTTCCTCTTACTACCCTTCCTTCCGTGCGGGATACCCGAACAAGTGACGGTGAACACGGACACCGGTCTGAGTGGACAGACCGAGTACCCTAGCAACACGAGCTGAATGCCGGCGGCTGGCAAATGAAAGAAGCAACTTGACTCGGAAAGCCTTGATATCGGAATTGCAATGAAGCTGTGTCTAGACCGTTCCTCAATCGCCGAAGCTCGGCACCTGCAGGCCTCCATCTCAGACAAACGCAATGAGGGGTTAACAGAGTGGATGTTTTTGTCGAGTTGTTGTCCAGAACCAACCCCCAGGCTCGGCTCTGCCCGTGGCGAGTCTTCCGCGTTTGTTATGAAGTGCCCAATACAGCCGTCCGTACAGAAGAAAAACTCACCGGACGATGCAGTTACCCATGGATTGGCCACGCAGGTTGTCCATCCGAGAGCAAGCAAGGAGAAAGATCACAGACTGACAAACGTTCAAGTCCTTGGGCAGAATAATATTTCCAATCTTGGTAGTCTAGCTACCGATGCAGAGCCGCCCTGCATACGAAGGCCATGGCTGTGACTGCATTTTTGTTGGAGGACGTTTATGTAGCCTTCTCTATAGTAGTACACCGAGCAAACCGCGCTCTGTCGCGTGATCTCGTAACCCCCCCCCCCCCCAAAACGCCTCGACCGTGTTCATTATACATATTAGCGCTTAGCTTTCTCTCTCTGGATCTTCTTGAAGAAGGTGCTGCTCTCAGCCTTGGCCTTCTTGAGCTTGACCCTCTTGTTCTGCTCCATATACGCCATGTCCTGGCCACCAGAGAGATCTCCCAACAGACCTGCTGTCCTCCGCGCCGCCGCCTTCTTCTTGCCTCTGGCCGGGGCACGACCCATGTTGCCGCTGTGGAACAAGTCGTCGATAACTTCGTCCTCGCCGCCGGCCTCGTTCTCGATCAGCACCTTCTGCAACAGTTCGCGTCTCTCACTCGCAGCCGCATATGCGAGGCCAGGTGTCTTCTCAATGTTGGCGAGTTGTGTGATCACCTTGAAAGCGTAGCCCTGGTCGACGAGGAAAGCCTGTCTCTTGGAGGAGTAATACATCTCCTGTGTGTCCTTGGACACGAGGGAGTAGAAGAAGGCGTTGAAGCCCTCCTCGTTTCTCTTCTTGGCTCGGAGAATACGGCCGAGACGCTGCGCCTCTTGACGACGGGAACCGTAGTGCGACGAGATCTGGATGAGGCAAGTGGCCTCGGGCAAGTCGAGGGATGTGTCTCCAATCTTTGAAAGGAAAAGAGTGTTGACTTGCGGGTTGTGCTGGAAGTTCTGAAGAATATTCATGCGCTCGGCCTGGCCTGTACCTCCGTAGATGTACACCTTCTGGAGCTTCTCGGCATACATCTTCAATGCGTAGACGTTGTCCGAGAAGACAATAATCTTGTCTCCGCGCGACTCGTGATAGTTGATGAGATACTGAGCAGCCTGAAACTTGCGAGGATTCATGATGTAAAGCAACGCTCTTTTGCGCGCCGAGGCCTTGAGGTACTCGTCGTAGAATTCCGCGGTCATTGGGCACCAAACTTCAGCGCACTGCACTTTGGCAATGTGTCCCTGTTCGGACAGCTCCATCCAGTTGGCCTCGTACAGCTTGGGTCCGATGAGGAAGTTCAAATCCGAAATCTTGTCATCCTCACGAAGAAGTGTGGCAGTAAGTCCTAGTTTAGAATGCGTCTTGATAGACGACGTGACGTTGCGGAAGATATTAGCAGGCACAACGTGAACCTCGTCGAGAAGCATTAGACCCCATTCTCGGGTCTGAAGGAAATCCATCATCTTCTTCGCCTCGTGAGACCTCTCTCTAGTTTGCGTCACCATGGAGTAAGTAGTAACGATGATACCCGTGTTACCAGGGAAAATCGCGCCCTTGTTGTCGGATGTAAAGGCTTGAATATCCTCCGGCTTGATATTTGACCACTTGAGGAACTCGTTTCGCCATTGCACAACCGACATGGAGCTAGTGCAGAGGACAATGACACCCTTCTTCACAGTGCAAGCTGCCGTAATTCCGACAAGCGTTTTTCCAGCACCGCAAGGAAGGACGATCAAACCACTCTTTGCTCGGCCGTTTCCAAACATCTTGGACAGACTCTTTTCTTGGTACGGTCGAATCAGCGTACCAGGTCTCAAGTCAATCTCCAGATTCGGGTTGGCTTCATCTCTGCGGAAGTCGTATTCCTCCAGCACCGGGTATTCCAGTTCAAGACATCGCTTCTGTACCGTCTCCACCGCATCGTCCGAAATTTCGAAGGCATGGGTGATTTCCTGGTCATCGTCGTCGTCGTCGTTCAGCGCTGCATAAACCTCGCTATCCTGAGCTTGAGCTTCGCCCTCGCGACCCTTGGCCTTCTGTTCCTCGGCCTGCCGTACACCTGCGGCGTTGGCGGTGCCTGGAATGACCAGGGGGCCCTGCTTAGGAGCAGCCGTTGTTGTGATCTCTTCGTTTCCGTGAACTCGCAGAGGTCCAATGACTGGATCCTTCAGAAGCTTCTGCAGGATCACCGGATCGGTACTCTCGACAAAGTATTTAGTGTTCTTCAGCACCAACTTGACTTTGCCGAAACTTTGTGTGCAGCCTTCGATAAACTTGCGAATGCTTTCCGGTAGAGGCATCTTCAAGAAGCGGTCCAGGGTGTTGATGATGTCGCCAGGAGACAAGCCAACCGACACGGCAGCGTACAAACTGTGTGTCGTGAGGGCATATTCGTGAATGAAGGACGGTCGCGAAATCGGTTCGGCGATGGTGATCAAGAAATCCTGCGCCTGCTCGGCAAGCGGGTTGAAGCTCTCCAAGAAGATGCGCCCCTTTGCTGGGTCGATGTAGAGAGGGCGGTTCGTGGAGTCGGGTTTCATCTGGAGCCACGAGAAGTCGCGCTTCTTCTTGAACAGCGCGGACATGGACTCTTGTCCATTTGCTTTTGGTCTGTCGAGGTAGGCGTCGACGGAGAACTTGTCGACATTCTTCTCGAGGTTCTCATCTTCGGATTCACTGATGGGATCTACCACGGAGGATTCATTATCACTAGCGACGCTCCTGTTGGGGGTAGCGCCCCCTGGCGTGGACACTGCCGAGCCCTTTCCTGCCTTGAGGCTGCCGGTGACGGCTCCCTGAGCCTTCCTCTTCGGCGGCATCGTGGCGGATGAATGTCGTGGGATATCGGGCGTCGCAAAGATGCAGAGAAATGATGTGAAGAGAGAATGTGCAGAGGCGAATGATGTAGCCTGCAAATGGGTCCTGTGTTAAAGTACCAGGTAGGTAAGCAGCAACACCCAGGCAGACAAGGCAGGCAGGCAAGGCAAGTTATTGGATGGGCTCCTGCACTCCAGCTTTGGCGTGCCCCACCTGCCAGGGTCCCAGGTGAAAGCACTCAGTGACAGACAGTCGGTTAGGTGCCTGTCTACCTTTCTCGTAGCTAGTAGATGCCTTCGATCGAATTTTCGTTCCGAAACTATGAGACGATGTGTATTTGCTATATCATGTTCCTATGGTTGAACACTGGCAGAGAAAAACGCGGTGATATGCTGATGCCAACACTACAGAAACGAGTGCAAATACATAAGCAAGAACTTTGATCGAGAAATGAATACTTGAGAGCGCAGTATTGAGTCTCTTTGCAAGTTTTGGAAGACTTCTTAAGCAATGGTCATATTTTCTGGAATTACGCCTTTATTGGCAAAAAACAGTGCCGTCGTTCTATTTCATCCCCCACACAGTCGGCGGGGTGTGCAGCGGGAAGAATCAGGCACTGGAGGCGACAAGCCAGGACCCCGCCAAATTTATCAGCAGCCCAAATATTTGGTGGAACCTTCTTCACCTCCAGGCCACCACCAAAAGTTGCATGTCCCCCGAAACCGCTGGCCAGATTGTGCAAGGCAAGTGAAGAACCTGGAACTACGGGACAGATAATCGTTCGACTTAAATCGCGGTTAACGCAGAAGAACAACATACACCATGTGGTACGCTCCATCGAGCCTTCGACCCCTGACCGCCAGCTAATAGCTCCTGAAAGCAAACACGTCCTGAACGCGCAAGTCGCCATTCGCTCACCATGCTGTACGCCGCCGAAGAACTCCCCATCCTGGGAAAGACACATCTAATCGTTTTTCCCATACAGGCAAGAAATGGTTCGACTGCGCCGAGTGCCACCAGGAGCAGGAGAGGCACCCTCTCATGCAAACCTTCGACATGACCTTCGCCTGCAAGAAGTGCAAGAAGTGCTTCCGCAAGGACGCGCAAGAGTTTGAGGAATCCGACGAATACTGCCCACACTGCGATAACCACTTCGTCATCGACGCTGTCACTCCCAAGGCCGCCATCTCTGTCGAGGGCGAGGACGCCCGTAAGGACAGTCGCATGATCAAGGACGAGCGTGTCCGTCAAGTCGAAGGAAAGTCGATATTCGACCCTACCGACGATGCGGACAAGTTGGGTTGAGCGAGGTTAGTTAGGCATTTGTGTGACAGCAGGCGACTTTATGGACACCGTTTTTAGTAGATTCCCCACGGCATGTCTAGAGGTGGTAATACAATGGTATTTGGTTGATACCCTCATCAGTGTCGTCTATCCGCGAACCCAACGCCTTTTCATGCCTTTACTCGTCACCGTCACCGGAGCCTCTCGTCAGGATGGCCGCGCTTCCGGTTCCTGGCGTCCGGCCCGTCTTCTTCTTGGCCGCCTCCTCTTGCTTCTCCTGCTCGATGTTCTTGACGTAGTTCTCAATCTCCTCTACCGGGAGCATCTCGATTGTCTTTCCCGGAGCCATCAGAGCAATCTCGATGTTCTTGGCTCCAGTCTGGACAACTTCGAGGAGAGACTTGATAGCCAGGCGGATGGTAGCCTCCCTGTCCATGTCCTCCTTGTAGTTGCGCTCGAGGAATTCGCGAACTGTCTTGCTTGAACGGCCAATGGCGTTGGCTTTCCTGTAAGAGGGTTAGCAAGGTGCTTTCACGCAAGTTTCTAGGCCAAGAACATACCATGCCGAGTAGATGCCAGAAGGCTCAGTCTGGTAAAGGCGGGGAACCTTGCTGCCGCTGTCGAAGCCGACAATCAAGGTGCTGATGCCGAATGGCCGGACACCACCGCTCTGCGTGTACCGTTGCTGGACACCAGCGACGTACTTGGTCATGTACTCGATCGAGGCGGGGTCTTCGACAGTGAGTCTGTGGGACTGAGCCTCTAACCGCGCCTTGTCGACAAGGATGCGGGCATCGGCGTTCAAGCCAGCGAAGGCCAGGCAGACGTGGGTGTCGAGGAGCTGGATCTTGGACGGGGTGATTCGGGTGTCTTGCAGCTTCATGGCTGATCGCTTTTCGCATCCGAGAACGACAACATCGGTGCCCTTGACGCCGACCGCACACGTTCCTATGATAACAGTGAGCTGGAGTTCGCCCTGGGATGTGGCGGGCGCGCATTATTACCTCGCTTGACGGCCTCACCGGCATATTCGACCTGGAAGACGTGTCCATCGGGACTGTGCAAGTTAGTTGGCGGGCTTGGGCAGGGTCGAGGGAGAGATGTTGACGGACCTGAAGACTGTTTGCGGCGGGTTAGCTCAACACATTGCAATTAACGGACAGGCAGGCGACGTACCAGACAATGCTCTATCGTAGCCGGAAGCCATCTTTGCTGAATGACGGCTGGTAGAAAAGGAGTTGTTTGATTTTGTTCAGTTCGGCGAGATGTTCGTTACTGCGGGACAATCGCCGTGGATGGAAGGGGTGCGGTCGGTGGAGGATGGATGGAGTACTAGGTGAGGTAAGGTAGGCAGGCTGCAGGTCTGACGAAGCTTCGGTACCTGCTGGCGCTGGCATGGAAGGCTGAGTAGCTTCAGGAGCTCTGTACCGCCGGGGAAAGTCCGGGTAATGGACCTTCCCGCCCACCGCCATCACGCTCAGCGAGGGGAGCTTCTAGGATCAGGTCTGCATATGGTCCGTGCAAATCTACACCAGATTTCCCCCCATATCAGTATTCACACGCGGGCAGCTTAGTTACCTGCTTGTGAACTGAAAAAGGTCCTCCATGACAAGTACACTGACGACGGGAGGTTCAAGTCACGACAAGCCTTGCACTGTTTTCTCCCCTTCGAAAGCGGCGACTTCAAGAATCTTGCAACAATCTGACAAATCTTACATTTCTAAGAGGCATTCAGCTGCAGCGGGTGTGTTCTTCGCCGTGTCGTCATGACTCTGGCGTCAGAAGCAGCCTATGATGTATTACAAAATAATACTCTCCCACGATGGCGGCCAGTCCATCGCGCAACCACCACGACCGCTGGGTCCTCGATAAAATAATGTTGAAAGCATCCGGTCAACACCACGCAGCCAAATCAAGTCCATGTATCCTAATACCTCCACAATTTTGTCTACAGCCGGGTAGGAATTTTGGTTGTCAGCGTCACCCTAGCGCCATCGAAAACAAGGAGCCCGCTCCGTTCAAAATCTCGCCAGGTCGGCCCACTGCCTGCTTTGGAGTACATTGGCAATATCTTGTCCCTTCGATGCCAGCCTCAGCTTGAAGCCTTCGCACCACATGATCTCCAGCTCTCCATCCCGCGAGGATGAGTTGAGCTCTCGGTAAAACTCCAAAGCCGTTGCGAGAGGAGCAACGAGCAAGTCGGGCTGTACTGTTGTGTTGAGGGTAAAGTCCAGTGCACGGCACACTCTGGCCGCGAATTCCCGACGCTGCTGATATCTCGCTAGATTGATCTGTAGGTGTGGCGGCAGATCCGGGTACATATTCGGAAAATCCTCGATGACTGGCTGAAATATGGCGTGGTGCAGACTCTCGATACACCGATGGAGGAGCAACAGCGTCATCCAGTAGTACAGAAACATGACGGCGGTAATCCCGTCCTTGAATGCTAAGTTGTCGGCAAAAGGGTTGGCGAAAGGAACTTGTTGCGCATCTTGATCGTCCGATTCTTCGATCCAGTACGCATACGGATGCTCAAGGGTCGGGGAGCGTGCGAACGTATGCCATTCCTCCAGCTGCTGTTCAACCTGCAAGCAACTGCTCAAAAGTTCCTGCGCTTTCAGTCGGCGTTGCAAAGTTGCAGCGAATGGGATGGTGCGATCGACTCGAGCAAACATGCCAGGCAGATGGACGATGACGTCGAAAAGTCTGTCAAAGATGCTCTTGGGGTGCATCTCCCATGGGATTGTACACCACTCAAATGAGGATAAGAAGGTCGCTTTCCTATGAAGAAGGGCAAGAATGATCTTGTCCTACAAATTAGCCGCTGGCGGTACAACAGTGCTTCTTGGCTCCTTACCGCATTGCACCTGTACACCCTGACGAAGAAATGGTGATTCGGAAAGTATTTGAATTGTTCCGGCCCGAACTTCTTCACTACATCTTGGTTCTCCTGGGGTACGCCCCAGGGGGTTATGCCGTTCGTCACGAGATAAGCTGGGTTTTGCTGCTGCATGTTAGCAGTCTTTTCCTCTCTGGAGATACTCAGATCCGCTCACCTCGAACAGAAATGCGCATATCCCATCTGGTGGACCGGCGACGTTACCGGCAGGCAAGAGGCTGATCAAGTTCTGCGCAGCCAGGTCCGTGTCACCTCCGTTGTCCCAGGTTTCCACGTCGATGGGTAGGTATGGTGGAAAGGAAATGGGAAAGCTGAATCGATTGCGGTCCTCCTCGCCTAGCAAGACGCTCTGCAGCCTGGCATGCAGAGTCGCAATCTGCACCGAATACACGATGCCATTCTCAGACAAGGAAATCAAGTCATCCCACGCGGGTGTTAGCGGCTCTGTTGGTGCAAGGCGAGGCGCCGTTTGCTCGGCAGCTTTTGCTTTCGGAGACTTCTTGGACGCGGATACCTGTCGGGGAGGGTGAGACGAGCAACGGCCGCCGTCGTCGATGGTTGCGGTGATGAATACCATCTCGCGCTCGTACCCAGCGCATTCGCGGCCGCTGTCGATGCATTTCCGACAGTACGGTCGTTCGTTGTCGCACTAAGGCAGTCATCGAGCCGTCAGCTGTTGTCTCTCCCAAGAGGCGCTCTTCAGGGTCTTTAAGGGCTTACCTTAACTCGCCGGGCCCTGCATGTCTCGCACCCCTTATACTTACCACGGACTCCAACCATGGTGACAAATCAAAATCTCAAACTTCAACGTTGGAAGATACGCAATGCCCATAGCTGGCCTAGCCTCTTCAAGACGACGAACGCGAAAAGGCAGGCGCACGAGGCCCGGTATATATCATGCCCCAACACAGCCGCAGCGGGACGTCAAGAGGTCTCCCGTGGTCCAGGATGGCGGAGTGGGAGGTTCTTACGTGGGCGAGTGCCGACGTCTGTGGGGCCGTGTTAGGCAAACAATGGTTCGCGGGATAACCTGGTGGATGGTGTGCTGCAGCCCTACCGAGTGTGGATCATGACGGTGTATGGACAGTTGGGAGCAAGGGAACTGAACACCCGGGACAGCTTGGGCGAATTAGATGGCTGCGGCTGCGTATGCAGGCAGGCCGCTCCGAGACGATCAAATATATGCCTCCCTTTGGTTAGAATCGGAGGCAGGGCGCGGGTAGATAGAGCATCACGATTCCCCCGGCCGAGGCACGATGAGCTTCGATTTGCGAGAACATGGTGTTCCGGTTTTGATTCCTTGCATGAGACGGCATCGGCGGAGGCTATCAATCTAGTTCTAGTTTCGTTCCTCGATATCGAACCGAGGAGCCCAAATCCGTGGCCAAGACCGGGCCCCTGGATGGGGAAAATGATTGTATCAGATCAGTGTCTTTGAAGAGGGTGCCTACGTATATGCGGCGCGTGGGAATGCGCAAGTGTGGGAATCAAGTCAATCACCCGGTGAAGGATGACAGCATCGACTGGCCAAGCTTGGATCGTTGCAAGTGCGACCCGAGACTTGACAGGCGGGACTAACATCAAAAAGCAAACAAAAAAGTGTAAACCATCTCACCTTGTCCTCCTCGGCTCCTCCTCATCCCCGGTAACTACGGTGTGCACGTCCCCCCCCTAGGAGCTGCCTCCGTAGGGCTGCAGACCGACGACAGGGGGTCGGGCTCGGAGGCCCCACGAGACATACGGGCCCTGGTTCCGGATTGGTCGCTCGGAGGCTGACATGGTGCGGCCGCTGAGAGTGCTGAGGGGAGAGGTTGGCAAGTCGCAGTGCCGCACTCAGTATCCTCAGTAAAGGGGCAAATGAGAGCTGAGCATGTAAGATGTCTGCCAGGGCACTGTCAGCCAGTCGGTGCGGAATGGCCGGCCGGGGGAACGACGTGGGTTCAGGCACCATCCCCTCGAGACAAGGGGGGGAAACAAGAGAAACAGAAAAGCACTGCAGCAGCCGAGAGACACACGAGTCCCAATTCTGACACCGCCTGCCAGAACAGCAGGCAGGGACGATCACACCAGACACCAGAGACGCCGGTCTGCGGGTGTGCGGGTGTGCGGGGCTTCGGGTGTCGGCGACGGCGCGATTGTCATTGGTGTTTCGCCCTCACCTTGGGAGATGCTCGGGGCGGCCGTACCGTAGCCAATGGACGTGCTTACGTCGTTGCCCATCAATACTATGGTATGTGACTACTGTCCTTGGAACGTAGAGTCATCAGTCCCCTTCCCCTTCCCTCCCTCCCCTCTCCCCCCAGGGCTGGGAAAAGGGCTGAGACCTGTCCTCGGGACGCCATGGGGCCGCTGCGGTTGAGGCTGGGGGGACTGTTGAACTGGGGTTGACCGACTGATCGCATCACGTTTTCGTCAACGTCCGATCTTAGACATGTCCGATCCAAGTCAATCCCGTCCCCCGGGCATGGTTCGGCGCTCCGAGGATTGGCGGATGATTGTCAGATTGTGATGGATTTGGACATTTTTCATGGCTGTGTTCTTTTATTCCCCTCACTTCTCTCTGGTGGTGATGATGATAAATCTAGTGTGCATTTCGTGTGTGCCGTGTGATATCCTACTAAATCACGCTTGCCGAGGCACTTTCTTCTCCCTCTGTAAGACAAAAATCTCAAAATATGTCCCGATTGGGAGTCAAGTCTTCTAAACCACCACGAGAGGGCGCTTTTGAGAGTGCGCAGTCAGTCATGCCCACACATACGCACACGAGCGCCGCGCGCCGGCACACACACACACACCGACCGTAGCCTCGCTCACACGACACACCTGATTTTCTTTTTCTTTTACAAAACCACATTGCCTTCTTTCTTTCCAGAGGGTGGTGGCCATTGGTTGGCTGGGAACCCAGCCGGTGTCACAGGCGTGGGCTCCAACCACGCGTCAACAAACCGTTTCCAGACGTCAGGCCCGAAAGGCTAAGGCAGCCGGACTCGTCTCCGTTCAGGGATGGGGGGTATCGTTTCTTGGCGCCCTCTCAGACGTATTTGTAAGGGTTCATGATGCCGTTCTAATTGGCCCAACGTCAGCATTCCTTTCACACGCCAGGCAGGCAGGGCTGATGGGCAATATTCTCATGCGGGAGGGGAGGCAGTGACAGGCAGCATCGTGTGGGGGGGGCAGCACACGGCGGCGGGGGGAGTCATCATCATCAGCAAGTGAGAGTCAGAGTGACAAATGGGGGTCACATTCGCCGTCTTACACGAACGGCACGGAAGGGTAAACGAATCTGCTCCGTCGGGAAGAAGGAAGGA